CGCCGCCGCCGCCACCACCACCACCACCACCGCCCCCGCCCCTTTGGGCCACAGGCACGCAGGATCACGCCAGCACGCGGCGAGCCAGAGCAAAGACCATTCCCGAACCGCAAGCCGAACCCACGCCGCGAGCCCAAGCAGGGATCACAATCGCAGTGAAAGTAACACCAGCGCAAAATTGGACGACCATTATCAAGGCACCCCGCCCCGCACCCGCGAGCGGAGGGAAAAGGACAAAAAGACCATGTTGTCACGGGCGCTGCAAAAGGCAAACACGGCCGTCCTGCTCGACAATGCCCAAAACTTCGAGGGCGCCATGGAGGCGTACGAGGACGCGTGCAAACTCCTGCAGCAGGTCATGGTCCGCAGCTCTCAGGAGGAGGACAGGCGCAAGTTGGACGCCATTCGTGTAACATATACCAACCGGATAGAAGAGCTCCGTCGACTTGACCCTGCCTACACCCATGGCAACGGCAAGTCACTGCCCGCTCGCCCTATGAGTGGGGAATCGCTGGACGAACACCGCTCAATGCTCTTACTAGAGGACGATGACGAAGAGCCTGCAGTAATACAAACTGCCTCTGTTTCTCGAATCGTAAACGACGCCTCGGTATACGAAAACTCCTTCGCCGGCGAACCAGAACAACCCCCTTCACACCAATTGCCCCTGCGCAGTGACTACCAAGGTCCCCGCGAGTCGGTCATCTCAACTGCCATCCGCGATGTGCAAAAAGGTATGCAAAACTCGCAATTCAGTCTACAGCCACCGCCTGCTAGACTTGGGCCTTCAGCTACGTCTGGTCGCTCTTCGGTTGCCGAATCAGCAATGGATCGCACATACATGCCCCCACCCCTCTCGCCAAGGAGATCAAAATCACCCCTATTCGACAGCCAGAGTGAATCCAGACCTGACGAGCCCGGCCGGTTGTTGCAACCGCAGCAGACACTAGAAACCAATCACCAGCGAGTCCACAGCAACGAGTCTACATCATGGCTTGACACCATAGACGAATCTGGAGGCTCCTCATGCTCCTCTTCGGTGCACTCCATGTCCCCGGGAGGGCCACGCCGAAAACACCTACGGAACCCAAGTGGAGAGACCGAAGCAGAGTTTGACGCGGCGCTCGATGCTGCCGTTGAAGCTGCGTACGACGACGGTTACGAACCTTATGATGACGACATGTCCACGCCAGCCGATCTGATATCGGCCAAGATGCGAAACGTGGAAATGGCCAAGGAGCGCGTACGGGAAGCAGAACGCGAAGAGGCTATTGCAGCGGCCAAATATCGTTACAAAGAAACCCAAATCCGCAATGAGGCATTGCCACACGTACGCGAGACTGCCGAAATCACCCTCAACGACGAGGCGGAAGAGGAGGAAAGGCTACTCGATGAGATGACCAGAGAGTACATGCTGGACGGTTTCGATTTCGACTTGCAAACAAAATCAGCGCTGCCACGACAGTCAGACTCGAGCAACTTTTCTGGAAGCACATACAACAGTTCAGTGTCCTCGCACAGGACAACAGGCGGGACGTCGCTCTCAACTGTTACCGAAGTGGTCCACCCGTCATCCAAACCACCGCCCGTACATTCTCCTCCTGCGGTCCCCGCCCCGTCTGGTGCTCTGCCTGCACTGCCCCCAGTTCTCGAGTCACAAGCATCCAATACGACCGATGCAGCAGAGGTTACTCCCCGGCCCAACACCGCAAGCAAGGACGCCGCTTCTGTGCGAAGCCGCAGATTATCAGGGCAAAACGCCAAATCGCTCAAGATCGAGACATCTGTGCTCAATATTCCGCCTGCGCCCCATACGGAGAAACCGCCCGTACCAGCAAAGGACGTGCCCATTGATCTTCCTGCACAACCAAAGTCTGCTGCTGCTGCATCGTTTAGCACTAGCAAGCCTTCCCTGGATTCGACATTCAAGTTGCCTGCACTGCCGCAAATTGCCCAACAGACCAGTCTTGCCGCTCCTTCACCACAGCCCGCACTGTATAGTCCTTCTGAGAATGGTCCTAGTCCGTCGCCAATGCTACACGGTGTCTCAAGCGAGCCTGGTCTTGTGCCAGGTTCCCCGAAAACCGGAAAAACCCCAGCCTTGGGTATTAGAAAAAACAAATCTTCGCTTAGCTTGAAGCAGCGGAATTTGTCCATGTCTAGCCCAGATGGCTCAGATGTATCCATTGGAACGCCGCTCAGCACAACCTTTTCCGTCACCGGACGGAAACCTAGCAACGCCGGACTGCCCATCCCAACTCCTAGCCTTCCTACGTTTAACATTGATGGTCTCCCGAGCGGTGGAATGCACCTGTTTGAGAGCGATATTCACTCGCCCTTTTCTCCTGGCTCGCCCAGTCCAGCAATCACAAATGCACCCATTCCACTGGAGCCGTGTCCGGACTCGTATTTGTTGAGGCCATTCTGGTTGATGCGATGCTTCTATCAGACTATCGCGCACCCCCGTGGTGGTTACCTCTCAACCAAGCTTTTCATTCCTCGCGATGTCTGGCGCGTCAAGGGTGTCAAACTGAAGAACGTTGAAGACAAGATCGCCAACTGCGACATGCTCACAGCAGCCCTGCAGAAGCTAGCTGCTGTTGACACAAACGATGCGGATGCTGTGCTAGAAGAGATGCAGTCTCTAGAACTAGTGCTTGACCAGGTACAGGCTCAACTAGCCAAGAAGCTGGGTAACGAAGTTGGCATACAATCTGTATCAATCCTCTTCAAAGATGCAACTACCGTGGGCGAAGGCACAGCATCTGCAGACGGCGTTTCCAAGGGCCCAACAACTAGCCAAGACTTTGTACCCAAGGGCGCTGTTGCCCAGGGCAAGTCGTACCTGGCGTCATGGCGCAAACTACGGTCCAAGAACTCTGGTGTCAATCTCGCCAACATGGCTACCGGTACCACGAGGAGTACAGAGGTGCCCAAGGATACGCTTGTCATGGCTACCCTTCCCATGACGAGTTTGACAAGCATACGTTTTGCAAAGCGCGACATTTCGGGTATGAACTTTGAGGGCCCCAATGCAGGATACATGGGATCTTTGGCGCGCTTGTTCGATGCAGTTCAGATACTGGGTGAGTTCTTTTTTGTTTTGCTTATGCTCTGCAATGGTTTACTAACTGCATTATTTCTTGTAGATCAAATCGCGCGTCAAGTCGAAGACCCAGGTCTCAAGCACTCTTCACCTACTCATGTTGGACTCGAACTGTCAACTCGCCATGCCGCAGAGTTCTTTGGCTTCTACATTTGTCGTTTTGTCCTTTCCGACGTGACGCTTATGCTGGACAAGTTTATCAAGAGAGGGAGTGAGTGGGTTTTGGTTTAAGAGGTGTGTGTGGGAGTGTGAGAGTGAGTGAGAGTGAGAGAAAGAGAGAAAGAGGCTTGCAAGAAGAGGACACATTTTCCTCCTTATTCCCTCGCGCGTTCCTACCCGTCCCATCATTGGAAGTGATGGTCGATGGGGGTGTTGTTGAACGTTGAAACCGTAATGAGAAAGAAGAGCATGTCACAATGCATCTAGTGCGTCTCCATTCGTGTGTAACTATTCGCCTTAATCAGGTGTATTCTTACTCTTACTCTTCTTCTTCTTCTTCTTCTTCTTCTTCTTCTTCTTCTTCTTCTTCTTCTTCTTCTTCTTCTTCTTCTTCTTCTTCTTCTCTTTTCTCTCTCTTTCTTTCTCTCTCTCTCTTCTCCATCTTCCTCCCATCTATTCTCTCCAACTCTCTTCCTTTCTCTTCTTCTTTTTTTTTCTTCCACCCTCTCGACAACCTCCTGTACCAACGACGAACAGGGCCCGCGCATATCACCTACCTACCTACTTCCTTTTATCCCCTCCCCGCCGTTTTAGAACCATTTCAACGCAAATTATCCTTGGGAATCTCTTCCTTGTCGTTTTCCATGTATTCTCTTTTTCGTCAAAAACTTGGTCTTGCACTTTCTCCCTTGTTTCCTTCCTTACTACGTCTGTCTCTCTTGATCTAGAAGGATTTCGGTGCCAATGAGAGTAGAAAAGAGAAAGAGAAAGCTGGTGGGGGAATAGGGAATATATATGGACATGAGGATGGTGAGGGGGGGTAAACGAAGGATGGGGTAGAGGAGCGGTGCTAGGTGTTGGATTACTATTCTTCTTCGTCTTCTTCTTTTTCTTCTTCTTTGGGTTTTCTTGGTCATGAGGTTATGGATTGCGTTCTTCTTGCTTTATTTTTTGTCCCTGTTTTTTCTTTGCTCTTTTGCCACTTCGCACTTTGCTACTTGATCTTGCTATTTTGGTTTGTCCCCTCTCTCTCTCTCTCTTTTGGGGGGTTTTCCCCATTTATTGGGATGGGTTGATTTCTTTGGTCTTGATCCATTTTTTACCTTTTTGGCTTGTTTTGCACGTCTCTTTGAAGATATCCCAAACCTCTTTTTTTGTTGTTGTTGTTGTCTTATCCCATGTTAGCTTAGCTTAGCTGCACTTTTGTTAGCGAATATCGAACTATCGTTATGGCCATTATTGGTTTATTCGCTCACTTGAAGACCCATTTTCTAGAGATAGAAAAGTTTAGTGTGATAAGAAAGTTGATTTTTAGTAGGTGAAGACGAAGAGCTGCTACCTAACAGGCTAGCTACGGACAAGAGAGGTAAGGGAAATAGAGTAGAATACACACGTAGGGTACAGTATGCTCTCAAATAACCAATGCCTGTGCCACTTGCTTCGCGGATTGGGTCTCACTCCTATTCCAAAGCTCCTGATGCGTGTAGAACCTCCCATTCTCAGGTGGTGGTCTCTTCAGCTGACCTCTTGCCGCCAACCGCCTGCTGCTCGATAGTGTCTCATGTAGCTCGGCAGAAGCGTCGTCGTTTTCGCCACTTGGCAGATTGAGTGGGCGACCCCATGCCGCTTGTGCACTTTCCAACCCACTGCTTGCACGAATTGTACGTATGACGGCTAAAGAGGCGATGAGATTGGCTTTCAGCATCGCTATTTGGAATACAGTGAGGGCCAGCTGCAGGCTGCTAATGGCGTTACTGACGGGAGCGTTCATTTCCCGGTGGAACATGCGTCCGAGTGCCGTTAGGTTGTTGCTCAAGTTGGGAATTGACTGGACGTATTCGAGGTATGGGTTTGTAAGATCGTTTGTTACGTTGCCGAATGTGAGTGTTGCAGTGGGAAAGACGGTTGGAGAGACTCCACTCGCGTTCAGGGAGAGTGTAGGTGTGGTTGTGTTTGAAGGTGACGTAGAGTTGATGGCAACAGAGACATTGACCGTATTTACAGCAGTGAGCCATTCAGTCTGGAGTTCTGGCCGTCAACTTCGAATTCATATCGAGACATGAAAGGTATGGTGAAAAACACACCTTGTTTGTATCAAGCTGATATTTTCCTCTCAGGATAGTGCTGGTGATGTTGTTCACAAGATCGGCAGTGCCCATTGAGCTACTGTCGATCATGCTGCTGAAACCGAAGCCAGAGACTGCGTTGTTGGGGTCCCCGATAGAATTCGCCGCCGCATTGATGAGGCTCCTCAAATCAGCGAGGTCCTGTACAGCCGGTGCGACAGCTGCCGCAGCGATTGGAATGAGGACGAGGCCGGTTACCAGCATAGTGTATAGTTCGTCGGATAGGCAAGCAGGGGGAAATTTGCCAAGTTATCAATGCAGTTAGCAAGTATCGACACTGATAACTGCTAGGTGGAAAGGTTGAGAGAATAATAAGGAAAATCGCCACAAGCTAAGTGTTGCTTGTAGTGTGTTGTGGATGACGGTAAGACAATCAGAAGCTACGCAGCGCAGAATATATTGCATAGCTTGTTTAGCCATCTAGTCGATGGAAGCCACGATGATCACTGTAAACACAGACAGAATAAGGATAGCCGTTTCGTGCTTGCCGCATCAGTACACATCCAGAGATTCCTATTTCCTACCTGTTGCTCCTCCCTTGCATTTTACCTCTAGAGTCAACATTTTGTACTCACTCTCTATTTTTAAACAACACATTAGTCCCACTTGTATCTCCAACGTCTATTCTCTTTATCCCTGCATTTCTGCCACCGTCTCCACTTTGGCCACCACCCATGATCTGTGCAGATAAAGTTGGGCGAGGAAGGCTCGAGCTCCAAAGAACAGCTGGCTTGTGCGAGGACAGTGCGTTTCTTTGCTCCAGTGGTAGCTTCCTATCTACGTTCAGCTATCTGACTTGGCGCAAACAAATTGAGTTTTTGAATTAGCATTCGTCAAAATCAAGTCAGGGCATGACCATAGCGCATATGTCAGATGTAATGTAGACTGCTTAATCCATGCCGAATTCCGGTTGTTGAGTATTGCAACTGTGCTCCACCAAAGATAGTACCTGGTAAAAGGTAGTTGAGCATAGACATGGTTGGTGTCAAAGCTTGACTTTACCCCCCGGACGTTATTATTGAACTATAACACACGCGCATTGACCGAACTTTGAGTAGATATCTTTCGACTACCATATTGGGTGGAGCATCTTGTAGCGATTTCGCATCATCAAATATTGAATGCATATACTATATGGCTCTTATTTTGCAAGCAAATTGATACAGAAACGTTACGTACTTGAAAACAAACCGAAGATGAGAGAATAACCTGTAATATTCCCAAAATACTATTTCCATGCCAGTGCACAAAATTGTGAATACGTGGTCTGTCAAAACTGCTCGAGAATTTTGCTTGTTCAGCGAAAATGACCAGAATCACGGATCCTGGCCGTCAACCTATCCAAAGTGTCCGTTTCCCAGCAGACGGCGGTACACCGTAGCTATGCAGTACAAACAGATGACCATACAATTTTCCAATTCTGACCCTTATCCACTCCAGATTGTCTCTCACCCATGACATGCAATGATCGCCATGAGCAGCCGGTATATTCGTCAAGTTTACAAATTTCGACGTCCCAGGACTAGAGATCCATGCTATCATTTCTAGATCGCGAATCGCCGTTGGCCTTCTCATATGCTCTCCACCACAGCGCCATGTTGGCTGCTACTAGCAAGTCCATCATTTTCAGGCCTTCATCCTCGAGAATAATCTTTCCAAGTTTTGCTTGCTTGCCACCCATACCTCCTCCTGCAAACTCCTGTCCAAGAGAGAGATCCATGCGGTCTTCATTGTTTTCATCTACATTAATAGATGTTGTAGAGTTGTTGCGAGAATGGCGACCTCGGCGAAAGAAGGAAGACCGCTTAGATGCTTCAACTCCTCTAGCCGCGGATCTCTTTGGGCCACTGGGGAGGTTAAACCTGAGCTCGCTCAAGCTTGTACTTGAAATTGGTGCTCCTTGAAGTCCTGGAATAAGATGGCGACACTAGTATAACAATTAGCCTCTTTGGTATCAATGTGACAGAGCTGGCATAGCTACCTTCAGAGATCCTCCACCCACACCGGTAATAAACTCACAGCGCCCATTCCATGGACTTGTGAAGACATAGCCACGAAAACTTGTTTGTCTTTCAGAAACCTGAATGCTGCCGTGTGTCTGATCGTCATGTGCCTGGAATGAAGGTGAGAGCGGAGAGCGTAGGTCCATCGACGGTCTCTCAGCCTGTCCAGTATAGCTACCTTTGGAACTGGGCCGAGCGTAATTGGCGTCGTAAGAGCTATTCTTCCTATGTCCAAATGCATGGCCCAAGTGCTGTGAGCCTTCCAGCCAGATACGTCGACGGAATACATTATCACTCGCGGCCTGGCCCCCTGTTTGCGATTCCACTGTATCAGAATGTCCCGTTTGCCATGACTGAGTAGAGAAGCCACTGTCTCGGCTCACCAAAGGTGGCTGGGGTTTGTCGGAGGATTCCAAGTGAAGGAATTTAGAGTATCCAGGATTGAACACCTGGATGTACATCGGCGCCCCGGACTTTTTCTTGTTAGTGGGATCTCTCAAAGCTGAAGATGAAATCTCAACGATGGGAGGATCCTCGATACGGGCAACATTCCATTGAGCGCCAGATGCCGGGTCTCTCCGGATGAGCGTGAGTGATGGGGGTTCACGTGGTGGGTTCTCTGATCGCCGACGTGGCAGCGGCGGTGGCCTCTCGTTTTCCTGTTGGTGTTGGGTCGAGTCAAATGAACGCCGCGGATTGCTGTAGTCTGGCGCATGTACCCCTTGTCTTTGCGAAAAGTTTCCGGCGCTGATATTGTGGCTATTTGAGTAATTATCAATAGGAGCTAGGGTTCCTGGCACGGGTTTTCGCATTGGAGGAACAGCATTGGAAGTTCCTGGAACCGCTTTCCGCGGAACCAGCGGGGCAGATGATAGATTTTGGCCTACAGCATCAGGACCTCTCAGCTCTGGAGGATCGACGAGGTAAGCGTCCTCGGGCTGGT